AAGAGGAGGCAGCGCTTACAGGACCCTTCACCTGACAGGTGCATTCCCACACCATGTGCCCTCACCTGCCCGGGGGATGCTGCCCAGAGAGGAGGAGGCTGACATTCAGAGGCCCTGGAGGGACTGGATAGGTGTCCTGTCAGCTCCCGGGGAGACACTAGCCTGGCCTCCTGGCTCTCCCCCTTCCCTGCTCCGCCTCGGGGTCCCCATCTGTGAAACGGGAGAGCAAGAGCCTGCTCTGTGGATCGCTTAAGCTTTGAAGAGACCCCGCCGTGAACATGGTCCAGATCTGGGACCAGGAAATGCACACCCTGTCCTGGATCTGTCTCCGCCTCCCCGTGTGAGTCCTTACACCTCCCTGAGCCTCAGGTCTCCCCTTGCATGAGAGCCTCCACCCAACCCCCCAACAACCTCTCTGGGCTCGCTGGAGCAGCAGCAGCAGCCCTGCAGGGCTCCTGTGCACTGAGCACCTCACCTGTGAGCTTCAAGAGGGACTTGCACTGCAGGCACACACAGAAGGTTAATGAAAGGTTTATTTCCAAAGAAAGGGAAAATGAAGACACGAATAACTCAGGGGAAAAAGAGGCAATAAACTCATGAATGTGCCCTACCCTTCTGCTGGCCTGGAATCCCAAGGCAGGCTGAGAGCTGGCCAAGAGCCAAGAGCCTTGAGGCCTAGAGAGCCACCCAAGGCCACCCCATCTGCTTTTGTACCAAACCTGGCAGCTTGACACCACCCTCAGGTCCCGGGAGCCTCCCTGTGGTGATGATGGGATTTGTCATTTACAGTGTCTTGTTGGCTTTGGTCTGGAGTGGAGGCGAGTCCACAAGTCTGTATGGAATTAGCTCAGGACATCCTTTCCCCCTAACAGGGGTGTTCCCCTGCGCGTCTTGGAGACACAAGCCCTGGAAGACAGAGCCCCGGAACCGAACCAGTAAGTCGTTCTAGGCAGGGACACCTCCTCACGCTGCTGCTTGGGAGATCCCCACCCAGTTTCTCCTCCCCGCGCCTCCCCTGCTTACCTCTTGACTTTTTGCTCATCATCTTGCACACCAGTGTGACAGGTCTTCTGATTTGCATTTTGCCTTTTGATTTGCATTTATCTGGTGATTAGATGTGCAGGATGTTTACTTTGAAGGGAACTTGGTCATTTGCATATTGCAGCTTTATTTCCAAAATGTGTATTCGAGGCTGTTACTTGTTTTTAAATGGGATTATTGAGTTAGATTTTATATACATTTTGGACATGAACCTATCTGTATATAATTTGAAAATATTTTTGCCCACTCCATGGTGGCCTTCTCATTTTGTTGACCCAAAGCTTGAGGAGCCACCTGATGATTGTGATACACAAAACATTGGATTTGGGTCTCAGCCACTAAAATCCCGGGAACCGCTGGCATGCTTAGAGGGTTTTGAAGCTAATGGGTGACTGGGGCCCTAGGAAACTACAGGGCAAGCCTGGTGACCAGAAAGACATAGCTTGGCTTCCAGGGAGAGGGGCTTAGAGTTTGAGGATGGGTCCTTTCCGCATGTAAGGCAGAAAGCAGTCTTCCTTCTGGAAGACTGGGTATACAAATAAGGAAGTAAGGTTATCACATTCAAATTCAAATCAGGACTAACTAAATCTCGCCCAATGTTAAAATGAGAGTCCAATGCAGCCAGAAGCCAAAAGAACTCCTCAGTGAGAGGGTGTGTCCTATTGTCAATGACACAGTAGATTGTGTCCCTGGGGAGGACTAGGCCTGCAGGCTGCCTTAAGACAAGTGGGTTGGGGTGTGTGTTTTTCTCTTTGTTTGTTTGTTTGCTAAATCTATATTGAGATGACTGTACTTTGTGCTTGACTATTGTTGGACCCCTGAAGATAAGAGCATGGTTGTGTTTATTCTCTTCAAAGATCAAGGGGTTGGGTTGTGGAGATAGTGGGGAAGGGGAGGGTTACAAACTTTCTTGGTAGAAGGACATCAAGTCCTCATATTTTCCTCACTTGACACTTAGGGAAGGTTAGAAAAGGAAGAGAGGGAGTGGAATAGACTCGAGCTATTTAACAGAAGGTTGTGCTATTGCGCTCAGTCACGCCGTTTTGATGTAAGGCTTCCAGGGAGAGGGGCTGAGATTCGCCTCGCCACTAAAGCCAAGGATTTCATCAGTTCTGCCTACGCAATGTAACCTAAATATAGACGGGTTTTTCAGGCTGGCGTCTCCTGTTGGGGAAACACGGAGGTGCTGGGAGGGACCGCACAATGGGCAGGGTTCAGAGAGTTCCTGCACCTCCCACCCCTCAGCCTGTGCTGCATCCCTTTGCGGGTCCTGAGCCAAACACCTGCATCCTAAGCCAGTAAGGAGACTGCTCCTGAGGCCTGAGAGTCAGTCTAGGAAACTCTCAACCCTGAAAGCATTGTGGGGCTGCGAGGACTTGGAATTTGAATGTAGGATGAACAAACAGGGTGGATAATCAGGGCACCTCACTGGCAACTGCATCTGAGGGTGGGAGCGGTCCTGCCGTACAGGATGAAGCCCTGTTGAAACCCTGGGTCTTGTGCTGAGTCTAGGGTGTTCATGTCAGTGTTGACCTGAGTTATAGGACACCCAGCAGGTGTCCAGAGAGCTGGTGTCAGGAGATAAAAACCCAAACCCTCTTCCAGAATAATTCTCTATACATGGAAAGTAGCGTCCCCCATGGAGGCTCAAATTCCTGACACATCCCTCCTTTAGGGCAGTCCTTTCAGCTCTTGGTGAATCTGACTGTCAGAATGTCCTGCACTGGCTATTGTCCATTAAAAAATAGAAATAATCATTATAAAATGTTGCTGTATTTTTACCTCTTGGCTTACCTAACATGGCCCATTTGGCAGGTGAGCAAAGGGAGGCTCAGTGCCTTGAAAATAGCCACCCAAGGAGCCAGTGTCAAAGCAAGTCTGAGCTGCAGCTCCTCAGGCCTGGCTTCCTCCTGCCCAGGTCAAGCCAGACACTCCCGCAATACCCCCAACAGGCAAAGGGTCTGCAGGTGTCACTCTTGCACCTGGTGTCCCCAGCTCTGCTTCAGGAGGGTATGTTGAGATTGGCTGAGTGCTGAGCTGCCTGCAAAGCCCACCTGGCCTGAAACACACACAGCTCAGTGCTATGATTTTCAGGAATCCCTGAAATCCAGGAGTGGCTGAAACAATGCTCCCTGGGTCTGCTGTTCTTTCCTTCTAAGAGCTGCATTGCAACCCAAATCTACCTCCTTAGAATGCCCACACTCTACATGCTGGATAGTGGCGGTATGCCCTCTGAGGCACCTGTGTTTGGTCCATGCTCAGCATGGTGAGCGCCCTGATTCCACTCCCTGGCCTGTGTGTGGAGCTGGCTGATGGGGGTGCCTTGCTCTGAATCTTTGCCCTTAGCAGGCCTGCCCTGACCCCTCCACTCCCCTGGCCACACCCCAGTGTACTTTCCTCTGGGTGACTTCCTGCTCTGGCTACTTGAGGCCTGTTCTCAGTTTTTGTCCAAGGGCCAGTCAAGTTCTAAGGAGACCTGGGGGTGGATGCTCTGAGCTCGACCTCCTGAAACCTCCCCAACTGTCCAGCATCAAGCTCCAGGCTAAGGTCCAGAGTTCAGGTCCAGGAGAGGGAAGACTCAGAGGACACAGATCAGTGTGTGTCACCCAATCCCCCCTCACCCTCCCCCCTTCAGTGATTCTCAAATGATCCCTCCCCTCCCAGGCCCCAGGTCTCCTAACTTGTCCAGTGTCTCCCACTCCCCTGGGCTCCCTCCTTACAATGGCTTTTCTACCACTCCCTTTGCCTTCCTCCCCCAACAACAGCTATTAGCAGGTTCCCTGGGTAGTGGAAATTGGGCTATGAGTGAGTGCTGGGTAGGAGCTTACCAGGAGGGGAATGATCCCAACTGAGTCTTGCCTTGGGGGATGTGGGATGGGGCCAAGGCTGATCACTTCCACATCTGCCTGATGTTCCTCCCGTCCCACCATCCCATCCCCATCCCACTGAACTCTTTGGGTCCAGCTGAAGCCATTGCGCACCATGAAGACCATGCAAAGCCATCATCGCACTTAAGCCAAAGGGATGAGAAACACAAAGTCTGGGTTCCTGCTGTGTGATATGCAAGCAATCGGCCCTCAATTGGACCACTTACATCACGTGGATTCACAAAAAGGGATGGATGACCTAGAAGTTAAAATTTCTATGTTAAGTGAGTAGACAAATTGCCCTCACTCTTCTCTCCAACAACTTCTGCCCCTCAGGCCTGACCTCTGAACCCTCCTAGACCTTCTTCTAATAAGTGATTGGGGCCTCCTCTACCCAAGGGGGTATCCAGGACCAGAGAAGTCAGCTCTTACAGGATCCTTCATCTGCCAGTGCGTTCCCAGCACCCCATGTGGCTCACCTGCCCGGAGAGGTGCTCAGAGCCCAGAGAGGAGGAGACTGACATTCAGAGGGCCCTGGGAGGGACGGGATAGGTGTTCTGTCAGCTCCCGGGGAGACACTGCTTGGCCTCCTGGCTCTCCCCTTCCCTGCTCCGCCTTGGGGTCCCCACCTGTGACATGGGAGAGCAAGAGCCTGCGCTGGGACGGCGTGAGGGTTGAAGAGAGAACCCACGGTAAACACCAACCTTATCTGGGACCCAGGAAATGCACACCCTGTCCTGGATCTGTCTCCGCCTCCCCATGTGAGTGAGGACACCTCTCTCGCCTCAGGTCTCCCCTTGGCATGAAGAGCCTACACACACAACACACACCACACACACACACACATCATCACAACCACTCCTCCTCCACTACCCACCCACCAGCTGCTGGAGCAGCAGCAGCAGCAGCAACCCAGCAGGGCTCCTGTGCACTGAGCACCTCACCTGTGAGCTTCAAGAGGGACTTGCACTGCAGGCACACACAGAAGGTTAATAAAAGTTTTATTTACAAAAGAAAGGGAAAATGAAGACACGAATAACTCAGGGAGGAAAGAGAAGATAAACTCATGAATATGTCCTATGCTTCTGCAGATCTGGAATCCCAAGGACCTGCTGAGAGCTGGCGAAGAGCTAAGAGCCTTGAGGCCAAGAGAGCCACACGAGGCCCACCTGTCTGCTTTTGTACCAACCCTGGCAACTTGACTCCACCCTCAGGTCCAGGCAACCCCCCCTGTGGTGGTGATGGGTTTTGTCATTCCCAGTGTCTTGATGGCTTTGGTCTGGAGTGGGGGGTGGAGTCCACAAAGCCGTATGGAATTAGCTCAGGACATCTTTTCCCCTAATAGGGGATGTCTCCTGCGCTCTCTCGGAGACACAAGCCCTGGGAGACAGAGCCGCGAACCCAGAACCAGGTTCCTGGCAGGGAACCTGTACCCGCTGCTGCTTGGGGAGACCCCCACGGTTTCCCTCTTCTCTGCGCCTCACCATAGCTAACCTCTTGACTTTTTGCTCATAATCTTGCAGACCAGTGCGACAGGATCTCCCATTTTGTCTTTTTGATTTGCATTTATCTGGTGATTAGATGTGCTGAGGACATTTTCATGAAGGGAACTTGGTCATTTGCATGTCCACTTTTCCAAAATGTGTATTCACGTCTGTTACTGATTTTTAATGTGATTATTGAATTAGATTTTGTATACTTTCGGGCATGAACTCCTTATCTGGTATATAATTTGAAAATATTTTTTGCCCACTCCATGGGTGGCCTTCTCATTTTGTTGACCCAAAATCCCAGGAGCATCCTTATGATGTAATACACAAAAATATTTGGTTTGTGGCCTCAGCTGCTACAACCCTGGAATCTCAACAGTGCTCAGAAGGTCCTTTTATACTAAAGGATGACTGGCCTGGGCCTTAAGAAACATCCAGGGAAGCCTGGAGACCAGAAAGACAAAGGTTGCCTTCCAGGGAGAGGGGCTAAGAGTTTGAGGATGGGTCCTTTCCTCCTATAAGGCAGGAACTAGTCTTGTTCTGAAAGAACTTGGTATACAAATAAGGAAGTAAGGTTAACATTGAAATTTCTGAGCCTCTAGAGGGCTCTGAGACCTGGGACGCTGGTCACAAAGGACTCACCAGACAGGGGACTGCTGTCAGCTACAAGCAGTGACTGTCTGTTTTTCTCAGCATGGTTACATGGAATTGTGAACAAGGACTTAATCATTTTATCATAAGTCAGAGAAAGTAGAACAACCTTACCTTGCAGGTCAAGGCCAGGCAGGGAGGCTGCCACCCTGCGGAGGAGGCAGGTGGTAAGAAGAGGCACCTATATGGCCACAGGGGCCAGTGGAGGTGCTGCCCTGAGCCTGTGCAGAGCCTGCACTGATATGGTCCTTTTCTCTTTGGGAGGGGTCACTCCTCCTTGGAGTGGCCTGCTAGTTGCGGCTGTTGGGGAACAGGCAAAACCAGGAGCGGATCAGAGATTCCAGGACAGGGCCCAATCTCCATCTCTACCCTAGGGCCTGTGCTCCACTCCCCATAGCATCTGCTCCTGCCTGGGTCTCATGCCTTGTGATAAGGCCTGGTGCCTAAGGGTCTGGACCTAAGAGGCTGAGTTAATGATCATATTATTCCCCGAGACCCCTACCTCCTTGTGTGAGTCAGGGTTTAGTCTTGGGAGGCCTCCTTTCCCCTTTCACTATTCTTGTCCTCCATCACTCCCACCCCACCAGGGGTCCTGAATGATGCCCCCAATGCCCCGGACCCCAGGTGTCCTGACCTTGTGCTGTGTCTCCCTCTCCCCTGGGCTTCTCCTTACTATGTCTTTTCTACCACTCCCCTTTGCCTTCCTCCCCCACACCACCTACTAGCAGGTTCCCTGGGGTATGAAAAGCTGGTCTATCATTACCAGGAGAGGAATGACCCCAATGCAGTCTTGCCTTGGGAGATGGTGGGGTGGGGGCAAGGGTGACCACTTCCCTGCCTGCCTGATGTCCCTCACCTCCCAATCCCTCACCCCTACCTCACCGCCCCACCCCCCCACACACCACAGGGAGCTGCTATCCTCAACCTCAGCAACCTCAACTCCAGAGTGACTCATGGATGCACAACAACCTACCTTATGCGACTGGTGAGTAGACAAAGTGCCCTCTGCCTGTTGTCAATCTTCTGCTCCCCCCACCACCTCTGCCCCCTGGGGCCCCATCCCTGAACCCCCCTAGACCTTCTTCTAGTCAGTGACTGGGGCCCAGTCTATCCAAGGTGGGATCCGGGACCAGAGGAGGCAGCGCTTACAGGACCCTTCACCTGACAGGTGCATTCCCAACACCCCATGTGCCCTCACCTGCCCGGAAGGGGTGCTCTAAGCCCAGAGAGGAGGAGGCTGACATTCAGAGGGGCCCTGGGAGGGACTGGATAGGTGTCCTGTCAGCTCCCAGGGAGACACTACCTGGCCTCCTGGCTCTCCCCCTTCTCTGCTCCGCCTCGGGGTCCCCATCTGTGAAACGGGAGAGCAAGAGCCTGCCTCTGTGGATCGCTTGAGCTTTGAAGAGACCCCGCCGTGAACACGGTCCTGATCTGGGACCCAGGAAATGCACACCCTGTCCTGGGTCTGTCTCCACCTCCCCATGTGAGTGAGGACACCTCCCTGAGCCTCAGGTCTCCCCTTGGCATGAAGAGCCTCCACCCATCCCCCCCAACCCCTCTGGGGCTGCTGGAGCAGCAGCAGCAGCAGCAACCCAGCAGGGCTCCTGTGCACTGAGCACCTCACCTGTGAGCTTCAAGAGGGACTTGCACTGCAGGCACACACAGAAGGTTAATGAAAGGTTTATTTCCAAAAGAAAGGGAAAATGAAGATGTTATAGGACAGGGAGAGGGGCAGCCCAAACCCGCAAACCTGCCTATTCTAAATGGGTTCTGCCATCCGCCGCATCAACACAAAACATATGACACTTTAATGGGAAGGAACTTTAATAAAAACTAGAAAACAATACAGGTAAGGCAAAGAGTCTAGTTTCTAAATGAAGCACCCAAAGTTACCCATCCCCTCGTGGGTAAAACTTCATCCATATGGGGTCGGCCCAGAGCAAGGCCCAAAGCCTGCCACAAGTCTAAAACATCTTCCAGTGGGGACCCACAGAAAAGGGTCACAAACAACCGGACAAGCCCGGAAGGAAAAGAGCAAAATCAACATCAAGATAAAAGCTGCCATTGTCACCTCCCCACGGGTCTCACCCACATCTGTGTCACCCAGTCCACGACCAAAAGACAAGCGCAGTTTCTTCACGTGTCTCTAGGCTCCATGTGCCTCCTCCAGGTCTCCTTGCTCCATCCTGCTTCCTTCCTTCCTCAGTCTCTTCTGCAGCTTCTCCTCTTCCTGCTCAGCTCCACCCTCCCTTGGGTGGGGCAGGGAACCTCCCCTTTCCTGGGGACCACACTGTTGCAATCCCCCTTTTAATTTTATTCCACCATATATACAGGGGAAAAAGAGGCAGATAAACTCATGAATGTGTCTTACCCTTCTGCTGGCCTGGAATCCCAAGGGCAGGCTGAGAGCTGGCCAAGAGCCAAGAGCCTTGAGGCCTAGAGAGCCCCCAAAGGCCCACCTGTCTGCTTTTGTACCAACCTGGCAGCTTGACTCCATCCTCAGGTCCGGGAGCCCTCCCTGTGGTGGTGATGGGATTTGTCATTTCCAGTGTCTTGTTGGCTTTGGTCTGGAGTGGAGGCAGAGTCCACAAAGCCTGTATGGAATTAGCTCAGGACATCCTTTCCCCCTAACAGGGGTGTCTCCTGCGCTCTCTTGGAGACACAAACCCTGGGAGACAGAGCCACGGAACCCAGAACCACGTTCCTGGGCAGGGATGTCTCCTGCACCCGCTGCTGCTTGGGGAAACCCCCACCAGTTTTTCTTCTCCCTGGGGCTACTGCTGCTGGGGTTGCTCCACCATCCCAGAACAGAGGGGGAGAGGGGTATACAGGGGAGGCTGGGGGAGAGGGGGTTGTGGTGGTGGGAGGCTCTTCAATCCACAGGAAGACCTGAGGCTCAGAGAGCTCTGAGGACTCCCATAGGGAGACAGAGACAGACCCAGGACAGGGTGTACATTTCCTGGGTGCCAGATCAGGACGTTTGTCCAGCAGTGTCTGTCTGGGTATGCTTTTCCCGTGAGCGCCAGGAGAGTTGGGGAGGGGCCTTTAATGCTTCATGGTGTCTCCTGGGCTCTGTTGGAGACACAAGCTCTGGGAGACAGAGCCATGGAACCCAGAACCACGTTCCTGGGTAGGGATGTCTCCTGCACTGGCTGCTGCTTAGGGAGATCCCCGCCCAGTTCCCTCCTCCCCGAGGCTCACCATTGCTTACCTCTTGACTTTGGTCGTAATATTTCAGGGGAGTATGACAGGGTCTCCCATTTTTGCCTTTAAATTTGCATTTACTTGATGATAAGTGATACTGAGGACGTTTTCGTTAACTTGTTCATCTGCATATCTGCTTTTCAAAAATGTCTGTTCGAGTCTGTTATTGATTATTAATTGGATTGCGGATTTTTATTCTTTATACGTTTTGGACATGAACTCCTTACCTGATATATAATTTGCAAATATTTTTGCCCACCCCTTAGGTGGTCTGCTCTTTTTTTTGACCCAAAATCCCAGGAGCCTCCTTTTGATGTAATACATAAAAATATTTGGTTTGTGACCTCAGCTGCTACAACCCTGGGAATCTCAGGAGTGCTCAGAGGGTCCTTTTATACTACAGGATGACTGGGCTGGGCCCTAGGAAACTTCAGGGGAAGCTTGGCGACCAGAAAGACAAAGGTTGCCTTCCAAGGGGAGGGTCTAAGAGTTTGAGGATGGGTCCTTTCCGCATGTAAGGCAGAAACCAGTCTCCTTCTGGAAGAACTTGTTACACAAATAAGGAAGTAAGTTAACATTCAAATACAAATTAGGAATAAAATCATCCAACATTAAATTGAGAGTAGAATGCAGCCAATAGTCAAGAGACTCCTCAGTGAGAGGGTGTGTCCTATTGTCTATGACACAGTAGATTGTGTCCCTGGGGAGGACTAGGCCTGCAGGCTGCCCTAAGACAGGTGGCTTGGGTTTTTTTTTTTTTTTTTTTTTTGCTAAATCTTTGTGGATAACACCGTACTTTGCCCTAGAGACTATTTCTAGATCTTGGAAGATGATAATGTGGGTGTGTTTATTCTTGTCAAAGAAGACAGAGGCCGGAATTTCATAGACTCAAGTATATTTAACAAGAGGTTGCAGCTACTTTTTTCTTGTTTTTCGTTTTTTTTTTTTTTAAGATTTATTTATTTATTTATACAAGCACTTGGTACAGTCAGAAGCGCGGGAGGGCGAGAGAATTCACCAGAGTCAGAGCGGGGAGCAGAGCAGGCAGACTGACAAAGTATAGTGCTGAGGGGAGCAGCGGGTGGCAGGAGAGGTCTCTGCGCCATGTGGGAACCTCACCCGGTGGCCGGGGATCAAACCAGCGCTGCAGAGGCTATGGGCAGCTTTGCAACCCAGTGCTCAACCGCTGCACCACCAGGGAGGCCCTCAGGGCACAGTTTTATCTAAGGTTTCCAGGGAGAGGGGCTGAGAATAGGCTCCTACTAATGCCAAGGATTTGATCATCCTGCCCACGTAATGAAACCTAACAATAAAAAGCCTTTTCAGGCTGGAGATCCCTTGTTGGTGAAACAAGGAAGTTCCGGTATGGGTGCACCTGGACAGGGCTCATAATCTCCTGCACTCCCCAAGCTTCACCCTAGGCTGCATCCCTTGGTGGGTCCTGAGCCAAAAACCTGTATCCTAAACCACTAAGGAGACTGCTCCTGAGGCCTGAGAGTCAGTCTAGGAAACTATTCAAATACGAATGGATTTGTGGTGTTGTGAGGACTTTGGAATTTATCTGCAGGATGAACAAACAGGGTGGATAATCAGGGCACATCACTGGCAACTGCCATCTGAAGTGGGGAGTGGTCCTGTGTACAGAACTAAGCCCTTGAACCCCTGGGTCCTGTGCTGAGTCTGGGGAGTTCATGTCAGTATTGAACTGAGTTGTAGGACACCCAGCTGGTGCCCCAGAGAGCTGGTGTCAGGAGGTAAAAACCCAATCCCCTCTTCCAGAATAAATTCTCTACACATGGAGAGGTAGGATCCCCCGTGGAAGCTCAAATACATGACATCATCCCTTCTATAGGGCAGCACTTCCAGCTCCTGGTGAATCTGTCAGAATATCCTCCAGTGTTTATTGTCCATTACAAATAGAAGCAATCACTATATAAAATATTTAAAGCTATCTATGAGCTTTTGCTGAATTTGAACCTCTTGGCTTACCTAAGATGGCCCGTTTGACAGGTGAGCAAAGTGAGGCTCAGGGCAGTGAAACAGCCAGCCAAGGAGTCAGTATCCAAGCAAATGTTGAGCTACAGCTCCTCAGGCCTGGCTTCCTGCAGCTCAGGTCAAGGCAGGCACCTCCAGAAATGATTACCCAACAAAAAGTTCAGCAGGAGTCATTCTTGTACCCGGTGTCCCCAGCTCTACTTCACATGGAATGTTGAGATTGGCTGAGTGCTGAGCTGTCCACAAAGCATACCCGGCCTGGAAAATACACAGCTCAGTGCCCCTCATACATGGCAGGATTTTTGCAATGGGGCTCAGGAAACCCTGAAATCCAGTAATAGCTGGAATAATGCTCCCTGGGACAGCTGTAGTTTCTTCTGAGATCTGTATCACACCCCGTATCCACCTCCCTGAAAGCCCACACCCCAGCTTTACATGACGGCTAGAGTCGGGAGCACCCCTCTGAAAATGCCTATACCTGTATGCTCCAGGGCTCCTTGCCCAGCACCGTGAGCACCTCGATTGCACACAGCTGGCCTGCCTGTGGAGGTGGCTTATGTGGTTGCCCTGCTCTGAATCTTTGGCCTTATCATGACTTCCCTGACCCTGGCCACATGCCAGTGTGCTTTCCTCTGGGTGACCTCCACTCTGGCTGTTTGAGGCCTGTCCTTCTGAGTTGATGTCCCAGAGTCGGGCGAGGACTGAGAAGATTTGGGGTGGACACTCTGAGCTTGACCCTCTGAAACCCCCACCTTTTTGGGCCTCCCCGGTGGCGCAGCGGTTGAG